ACGGCAGATCCATCACGTCATTTCCTTCCTTATCCTTTACCTTCTTGGGGTTCCAAGATCCTTTGGGCTTCCCTTTGAATTTGCCTCGAGTCACGGCCAGAGCCTCTACAGGAGCAGCTGGCTCGGCCTTCCGCTTCTGCTTTTGATTGGAGTTTCCTTTTTCCGACTGACTAGGCTTATACTTGCCACTCCGGAGCCTGTCCTCTTCTTCACCGTTAGTGTATTTGGTGGCAATCTCCATCATTCGACTCAGAGTCATATCCCCGGTTCGACCAAACTTCAGGCTCAACTCTCTATTCTTGACACCATCCTTGAAGGCACAGACCGCTTGATGGTCAGACACATTCTCCACGGTATGATGCAAAGTGATCCATCTCTGGATGTAATCTCTCAGTGTTTCATTCGACTTTTGTACGCAGACTTGCAGCTCTGTCAATCCGGCCGGTCGCTTGCAAGTTCCCTCGAACGTCCTGACGAACACTCGAGAAAGATCTTCCCAAGTGTAAATACTACTAGGAGCTAACTGATTCAACCACACACTGGCGGAACCCTCTAACATGAGTGGTAAATGCTTCATGGCCACCTCATCATTACCGCCGCCAATCTGTACCGCCACTCGGTAGTCTTCAAGCCAGGTTTCAGGTTTGGACTCACCGGTGAACTTACATACCCCAGTCGCCAACCTGAAGTTGGGGGGTATCACTGCGGCTCTGATGGCTCTACTAAAGCATTCTGGACCTGAAACATGGACTCGGCTGCTAGTGGGCGCATCTCTGTCATGGCCACCTCTATGAGCTCTGTTCCGATCGACCAAACCTTGCACGATGATGGATCTCACGTCAAATCCTGGTTCCCTGGGGTCGACCGGAGCTCTCCGCCCAACACTGAGCTGGCGCCTGTCATCTTGCTGCCGATGGGCGTTAGACCCACCCCTCAGAGGAGGAGTGGGCACTCGACGCCTATTATCATGATCAAATCGGTCATCATAGTGGTCCCGCCGACCTTCACGTCCCTCGCACCTCGGAGGCGATCTTGGGCTATGAGCTGACTGAACTGTATTCGCAGCGACGGATCGACTGTGAATCCTGTTGCGCGACTGTGACACAGCTGAATTCTGATCTCCTCCTGCTCGGAGCAAATCCCTGATCTGCATCAAGCCTCTGCCAGCCTCCGACTAAGAGGGCTGAATTGACTACGCTATACGGGCTGCAGCTGCTAAATTCTGAATCGGGGTTCGATATACCTGAGTCGGTTGCGGAAAGAGCTGACGTCGACTAGAGTCGGGTACTCGTTGCCGCACACGCTCGTCGAGTGCTCGCTAGAGGTTCTCCAGTCGAGTGCGTTCAGCCAAGTTGGCCAAACGCGCCTCTTCCAAGGCACGAGCCTCGGGAGTTTCCCCTGCGATAGGAGTATACAGGGCATCCATGTTCCGGCGGCGAAGATCTTCTCTTTGCTGAGAAGTGAGTGGCTCATGTTGATATTCCTCGTGGGCCTGAGCGGGGTCGCCTCCATCGTCCATCCCGTCGATGCGGGGGAAGCCGGGAGGGCTACGAGGCCCATTGACCATCAGGACCTCCACCGCTGGATCACTGCTGCCGCACTCGGATGCAGTCTCTACGGAGCCAGCCGACAGATCGAACATACCGTAGAGAGATTCGTCGGACTCAATTGCCGCGACTTGGGTGGTGGCCGATTGGCGAGCTACTGCATGTCTCACCCACCGTTGAAGCCTCAACCGACCGGAGCGCTTGCGCTGGCGGGAGACAGGGAGGGAGAACGGCCCAGGGGTCGACCGGTACGGAGTCGACGGCTGTCACAGCAGGACGCCACGGACACACGCCCGAAAATGTGTCGCACCGTGGACGGGGAGCGCGTCGATGTCGAGTGGTGCCTCCTGGAGCCAAGCGGAGTCGTCGGCAATGAAAGCGAGCGCACCGAGACGGATCTCGCGGCCCTCGACCAGAACTCCGCCAGAAACCATGATGAAGGCAATCGAACAAATTGCAACTTCTCCAAAAAGTCGCTAAGACACCTGCCCCACTGTGGGCGCCAACTGTCGTAGTTCTAAGTCTGACAGTAGAATGGGGGGTAGGTATGGAGAGGCAAGATCCTAGCTATGGAGTAGTTGTATACGCAAGGGATTTACGAGTTCAGGCCCTTCTCGGAGGAAGTAACAGCCGTACGTCTCGGAGCCCGGAGGCGATCGACTGGATTATGTGCGTATGAGTTACAGGGGTGCGAACCCTTTACACTGAGGAGGGGGGTGGCTTATATAGAGTTCGCCAGACCCCTCCGGCCCTCAGTTATGCAGGGTTTAAAGTACATTAAGACAGGGAGTTACTGGTAACGCCCACATAAAGCGCCATGAAGACTATTAAAGTTACTTAATGACAGGCCGTTGCGTGCTGAGTGACTTTAGGTCTCCTGGCTGTCGAGTGGTTAGCTTCATGGTCGAGTGGCTATCTTCATCGTCGAGTGTCTTTGAGTTCGTCGAGTGGGGTCCCTCTCGGTCAACTGGAAGGTAGCTTCTTCTAAAGATGTCCTTGGGTAGGGTATCCTAGATAGGTTCATGACCCTACCCTAGGTACATGACTTCATTAGAGGTGGGTCCTCTGCGGCAGCTGCGGCGGGGGGAGCGTTGGGAAGTCGGCGAATCGGGTGGGTGCGGCCGGATCGGACGAGCGGCTGCTGCTAGAGGATGCGCCGCTAGACGACGACCCGCGAGCGTCGCAGCGCGGATCCGCGCTGCCGATCGACGGCGGGGACCTCCGGCCACTGCGTCTAGCCATTGGGAGGAGAGGGGGCGGCAGGGCGAAGGTGAGAAGAGGAGGCACAAGAGAGGAAGAGAGGAGAGATTTTTTTACTACGTCGTCGAGCAGTGGAGTAAATATAGCGAGATTTGCGACGGCCAAGTATAATATTTACTTCACTATGGACTATTGCGAATCGGTTAGATCCTGGTTAGAGAAGTAAAACCGAAATTTTACTCGTCTAACCGGTCATTAGGGATCGGTTAGAATTGCCCTTATCTATCAACCAGTCCCCCTCTTGGTCTATGTAGCACCGTAGAAATAGGTTGTACTGAGCTATCTGGGAATTAAGCCCCAACAGTTTTGGCAATAGACGTTGCTTGCTGCTGTTTCCATCTTTGCTTGTCGTGTTGACCATCTAATTATTTAGGTTGTCTCCATCTTTGAATGCACAAATGACGGTTATTTATTCTCTTTCACTATCTGGGAAGAAAACAATCCAATTTCTTGAATAAATCAAGATGACCTGTCCATGTGACAATGCTTTTTTTTTGAAAGCCATGTGACAATGCTATTGTCAAACAAAGCAGGATGAGCTGTCCAGTTGGACAATGCTCATCCAATTGTTTACGAAAATACTAACGCCCATACGTGTGGGCGTCTGGCACTCGCCCACACGCATGAATCCTCGTCTAATCAATTCTAACTAATTTTAGCGCATTTTAACAGTTTTTGTGTGTCACGTAGGACTGGGCTGGTGTGTGGGCATTCATCCGGTCGTCAACACGTCCTTTTTCAACACATGGGGGGCTGGTGTGTGGGCGTTTAGCAATTCGCCCACACATTAGTTTTCACGCACGTAGGGGGCTTGTGTGTGGACGTTTATCACTTTGCCCACACGCCCGTCTCCTCGCCCACACCCAAAGCCGTCAGTTGCCATGTGTTTCTGCAGGGTACATGGCAACTGCCCTAGCTTTGCTTGTAAGCAGATGGCAACTCTCTTTTACCCGAGTTGCCATGCGTTTTTGCACGATACATGGCAACTGCCCCAGCGTGCACATAAGCAGATGGCAACTCTTCCTTTTACATGGGAACTGCCCTAGCGTGCTTGTGAGCACATGGCAACTATCTCTTTTACCCGAACATGTTTTTTTGCCATGCCTTTTTTGTAGTGCTACATGGCAACTGCCTAGTGTTAGTAGGTGGCAACTCCTAAAGTTTTGAAATCATGGCAAATGCAGTAAACCAGACCATACATGGCAACTGCAGTTGAGCAACCATGGCAACTGTAGTTGTCCGACATGGCAACTGCAGTTAAATGAACAAGGAAGAGGGTCCAGACCATGGCAACTGTGGGGACGCTGGTGACTGTCACGCGGCGTGCGAGACCATAAGGTAGGAGGCCTGACGTACGGGCGTGTGGGCGCTATCTATTTTGCCCACACGTAGGCATAAGAGAGAAATCGCGAGAAAAAAAAGAGGCGCGTGGGCATTACTTGTTTTGTCCACACGTAGGCGTGTGGGCTGATCCTCCAAAACACCACACAAAATGTGTGGGCAGACCCCTTAACGCCTACATGTGTGGGCGTTATCAGCGTGCATTGTTTATCAAGATGACGGGTCAAGATAGTAATTTTGGATTGTATCTGGCGTAGTCGTGCACCTATCTTTACTTCTGTCATATAAACTCGGTTCATGATAACGATGTATCTATCATCCATCAGTTCTGACCATTAAATCTACATTTAACATATTTGAGTTAAGTTGTGACATTTTTGCAACATAGCTCATCGTCTATTCAAACCAATTATATTGTTTCCTCATCTCATCCAAACAACCTCAAAACAGGTTTTCGCCCTGCTTTATATATAAAGCAACCTCCCATAGTCTCAGGTCATAGAGCATCACGGACAAAGCACCATAGAAACTATAGTGTTTTTCCCGTAAGTTTGTGAACATGTATTTTTCTACTTTGAATCATGGAACTCACGGGCAATTTGATAGTATGTTAAACCTGAAAGTATGTACTTTCATAAATTCTAATGTTTTTTTATTTCAATTTGCTTTCCACATGTTATATAAAAGAATTGTATCTTTCCACAAGCACCTATAAATTATATTTAAATTTAATTCATACTACCATAGTGCAGTTGACAGTTGATACCGCCAGACATCGCAAGGCTTTTAAAACTGCAAGAGTATTTTCTTGCTGTTCGTCCACAGGAAAACAAACCAAGCCAAGACATCCACATGGAGCTAAGCGCAGCCACCGTCTTCCTCTCCGTCGTCTCACTGGTGATCCTCGTGTTCTTTCTTAGCCGCAAAACTTCAGCAAGTTCCAAGAAGAAGCGGCCTCCGGGTCCATGGTGTCTTCCCCTGATCGGCAACCTTCTCCACCTCCTCACCTCGCAGCCGCAGGCGGCCCTACGGGACCTGGCCAGGAAGCACGGCCCGGTGATGTCCCTGCGGCTGGGCCAAGTCGACGCCGTCGTGATCTCCTCCCCGGCAGCCGCGCAGGAGGTGCTCCGGGACAAGGACCTCACCTTCGCGTCGCGGCCGAGCATGCTCACCTCGGACATCATCCTCTACGGGAACATGGACATCGCTTTCGCGCCGTACGGCGCGTACTGGCGGATGCTGCGCAAGCTCTGCATGGTCGAGCTCCTCAGCGCGCAGAAGGTGCGGCAGCTCGCGCCTGTCCGGGACGGCGAGACCCGCTCCCTCGTCAGGAAGGTCGGCACCGCGGGCCGAGGCGGCGAGCCGGTCAACCTCGGGAGGCTGCTCTGTTCGTGCTCGATCTCGATCACCGCGAAGGCGACGTTCGGCCGGCTGTGTGACGAGGAGCTCCAGAAGCAGTACATGCCGGTCGTGGAAGTGGCTGTGAAAGAAGGTGGGGGTTTCAGCGCCGGGGACCTCTTCCCGTCTCTGTGGTTCGTCGACGTCGCCACTGGGCTGACACGCCGGCTGTGGCGAACGCGCCGTCAGCTCGACGCCATATTTGACAAGATGATCGCTGAGTGCGAGGCACAGCGAGCAGAGAAAAAGAAGACGACGGCGACGACGAAGACCACCGGAGATGAAGAAGAACACCTCCTGAATGTCTTGCTTAGGATCAAGGATGAGGGGAAGCTTGAGGTCCCCATCAGCATGACAAGCATCAAAGCAATCTTATTTGTAAGTGGTGACATATATGCTCTCAAATTAAACCATGTCCGGCCTTTTCTCTTCTTTGATTTTCATGTTCGTCGTCGTTTAGGACATGCTCACCGGAGGCACGGAGACAACGTCGTCGGCCGCGGAGTGGATCATGTCAGAGCTCATGAGGAACCCCGAGGCGATGGCCAAAGCGCAGGCTGAGGTTCGACGAACATTCGACGGCAAGAGCCCGGAAGACCATGAGGGCCTCATCGACAAGCTACGCTACATGAAGATGGTGATCAAGGAGGGCCTGAGGCTGAACCCGGTGCTGCCACTCCTTCTCCCCCGCCTCTGCGGGGCGACCTGCGACATCGGCGGATTCGAGGTCGCCAAGGGCACCAAGGTCATCGTCAACGCGTTGGCGATGGCGCGGAGCCCCGAGCACTGGCCCAACGCGGAGGAGTTCATGCCGGAGAGGTTCGACGGCGGCGTGGCGGGGGACTTCAAAGGCTTGCAGTTCGAGTACCTCCCATTCGGTAGCGGGAGGAGGATGTGTCCTGGAGACACCTTCGGGCTCGCCGTGCTGGAGCTCATCGTCGCGCGACTTTTCTACTACTTCGACTGGAGCCTCCCCAACGGAATGCGACCGGATGAGCTCGACATGGACATGATCGTCGGCTCGACGGCGAGGAGGAAAAACCAGCTGCACCTGTTGGCGTCGCCGTGCAGGGAGCTTCCCGTGGAAATCTGAAGGCTGAGCACGCAGCTCTCATCGTTGTATACTACATACTGTTCATGGTTAACTTTCTTTTTTATATGTGTTCATATGGTTCGCTTTGGGGCTTGTGTTATTGTGTTATTGTTGGACAAATAAATATCACTATTGGAATTCACATATCTACTAGTATTTACATTTCATAAATATATAGTGAAATCTACTTTATATTTTTAACTATTCGAGCTTAAGTTTTGGACCCAAACATTGCGCTGATGTTACAGGGAGATCATCCGATTAAACATGGCGATCTGCGAGTATTCCCTCAAAAAATCACATACAGCGAATGCTCAAGAATTGCCACGCTAAAACAGATATATTTGCCGTGCTATTGTATAAAGATTTGCCGTGTTGTAAAGAAAACAATGACATGCTAGTAGAAAAGATTGCCAGGAATTTGTCATGCTACAGCAAATTAATTGCCATGAGTTTTCAAGGATTTTCTGTGCAACATAAAGAATTGCCAGCCTAAAAAAAGTTCAATTTGTTAAGGATTTGCCATGGTAGCAGAAGAAAATTGTTCGTGTTACATCAAAGTAAACTGGTAAAAATTGCCATGCTCCTAAAACACAATTTGTCATCCCGGATGTGTTCGCTTAGATTGACTACTTGAGAGAACTGTTTAGTGCGGTCAACTCGTAGTCAGCTTAGATGTGTGTGTGAGAGAGAACAGTGATTGCCACGTGTCTTGCTTTGAGATTCGTACACGGAAATTAAACGTGTCACAAAGTGTTCGCTTAAGAAACCCCTCTGAGATGACACTAAATCATTTAATATTTCCGTAAATATTGTGATACAATTTATTTACTCAGTTTAGTAGAAAATTCCTTCAAAATACCCATTGAGACAAGTTTATTCTGATCTTTTCTACTCCATCTCTGGGGAGCACTATTGGTGTGGCATAGGGAGCACATGCGCTCAAGGTTCATAAGTAGGAAAGGCTCCCCGGGTTCAGTCGACACCACCTCCTCGTCCTCATTTTGCTATGGAGGAGTTGAGGAGCAAAGCCAGGCGACTGGTTGGGCGCTAGGTTATCGCACCCAGGTGATCGTTCGAGAAACATCATGCATGGCGGCAAGATGATCCATTTCTTTCCTTCTCACTAAGTTATGGACCAGCTCGTCTGCGAGCAATGCAGGTGTTGTCCAAATCAAGGGAGTTGGTCCCATTTATATACTAGTCTGTCACTCAATGGATCGTTGGTTCAAGACAATAATAGGTGCATACAACTTACTAGCCCAATCCAAACACATAAATACCATGAAAACATATATGGTTTTGATATGAAATGATACCACTTGGACTCTATTAGCATTAATCATAGCAAAGTTATAGCAATAACAATTCTAGAACAATCATCATACCATGAACCAAAGCCCTATGAATCTTAGAACTATTACCAAATTGACATCTTCCAATTCCCATCCACTACATATTCCTACATCGGGTTAGTCACACATGTTTGAGAGAAATTTGACGGAGATGATGGAGTAGGGGCTGAGGGAGTCGATGGGTACAAAATCACCTCTCCTTAGGCAGGGTCTACCTCCAGACAGCCATCTTGGATGAAGAACAACTATTAAGACAATCCTCTTTGGATGAAGAACAACAATTAGAGTGGTCTTCGTTCCAAGAAAAAAATGTGATCAATCCCTCGAGTTTTTTTACGTTGAAGGAGCTATACAGGCAAATTCTGACAGCTAAGGGGTGCCTATGGGCAGTGGCGGAGCATCATGTAGACCAATAGGGGGCATGGCCCTCTTTATTTGTGCATCCACCAAAGAATATGCTATATTTGAAGCCTAACTAGTGTTTAAACTAGAGATTAGCCCCTCCTTCACTATTAATTTGCTCCCCTTCAAGTAATGGCCCCAGGTCGGATTATGCTCAAGCTCCGCCACTACCTATGGCGCCCACACACCTAAGGTCCTGTGGTTCTCCTTGGCCCCATCTCCTAGTACTTGGCCTCTTATGATTCAAAACTTGTCTCTCTCTTTTTGGATTTTTCGAAAAAGTTTATTTTCTGTACCAAATAACACCAAGGTAATTCTACTTAAAACATCATCCGCCAGGTTAAATTTCATACATTCATGCAAGTTTAGAGGAAAAAACTTGCATAAAAGTGTTCGGATAAGTATATTCGTTTAGAACATATCAATGAGCAGGTTCAACAATCCCTCTATCATGTCCCCTATATACACCTAAACTAGGAGATAAACAGACAAAACTTAGTCCAACAGTTCCCCTTTTGTCTCCCCAAGTTCGGGGATGCCCCTATATCTCGCTACATTATACTTGGGAACTCTCAAGTTGAGTAGGGCTTTCAAAATTCAAACTTCTTCATATCAAAAGAATCTAGAAAAAATGTGTACAAGTATAAATGGATGTGATGTGTATGTGTGTAAAATTTCAGGATAAAACCCTTGAAATGCAAGTTGTGCAAAAAAAAACTTGAACTTTAAGGATGAACAGGGCATCTACAAAAAAGCCACATTTTTGTTTTTTCTGTGTAGCACTTATTTTACCGTATTTAGTCCTGAAAATTTACACGCTTGTACATTATGTCTTTGAGTATACGTGCAATTTTATTCAACTTTTTTGAAGCATACAAATACGAATTCTAATCATTTCAAATTCGGCCTCCATGGAGGCCGAGATCCATTCAACATTTTCGTCTCAAGTTCCCCTATATATCTTCTTGTCTTTTATGATAGATGGGACCCACATCAAGAATTACTTTTGGAGGCCGAGCTCCATGGAGGTATACCTGGCCATCGCTCGGGCCGGGCCTGACCAAGCCCGACGCAGAAATCCCAGGCCAAGGCCTGGCCCGGCCCAGACGCCGGGCCTAGAAATAAGGCCCAAGCCCGGCCCGTCAATGTAAAAGCCCGCCGGGTCTCGGGCCGGGCCTCTTTGTTTACTCGCAAATATGATGGGCCTGGGCCCGACCCGGCCCTTGAGGAGCGTCAGGCCGGGTCGGGTCGGGCTGCCCATGGCCTGGTATACATGGATGTCTCCAAATGCAAAATTTGAAATTCATGAAAATTCATATTTTTACATTTAAAAAATTCTGAAAAATATAGAGATAGATGAAGGCATAATGCACAAGTGTGTAAATTTTCAAGACGAAATACGTGGAAATGAGGACAAATCTGAAGCTTTTTAACACATGGTACTATTCATCCTCCCAGACCATGAATTTATCTTCTTTTTATAAACGTCACATTTCAAAGTATTTCATCCTGAAATTTTACACACATACGGCTCACATCCTTGTTTACTTGTACAATTTTTTTGAAATGAAAATTTTCGAATTCCGAAATTTTCAAAAAATTGGCCCTCCATTGAGGCCGAGATCCAAAGTGCCATTCTCAGACCCGCATATATAATATGTCATTTTGTTTCGAAATGAGTGGTTTGTTGGGTTGAGGGTGGGGTTTATGGTGGTTGGTTGGCATTTAATGTTCCACAAAATTGAACGAATTTTAGAAAAGTTTGTATATGAAAATATAGATGAGAGTCTTAGGGGAGTTGTACGAAAAAGAATCGAGTGATAATTTTTTGGGGTCTACAAAGTAAAAAAAGAGATAGTAAAAACAATGTGGTGCTCTACAAATTCTAAATTATATTTACCGTTGAATTGTGATGGGTCCCAGATTACAAATGCACGTTTTTATAATAGTAGTAATAGTCTTACGAGGTGGATAATAAATAAAATTCATTATATGTATAAAATGCATGAAAAGTAAAAATTAGCTTTTGGAACGAGCATGAAATTCATAACTATATAAATTCATAATAAATTCTATATACGGATTTTTTATTACGTAAGATAAGAAATGCAATTATATATGTTGTATCTACTAAATATGGAAGAAAAAAAATAAGAAAGTTAACAAATTGATTTTCTTACGAACCCCATGTGACATCGAAAAATATATGAAATCTTAATGGTTAATGCTTATACTAGTAACTATTATTAAGTAGATAAATAATAAATTCTACCTTATTATGGAATTTCAAACTAGAACAAAATTTAGAAATTCACTTCTCGAACACTTCTAGTGTGGAGCCTAAATAGTTAAGAGGTAGAGAAAAAAGAGAGCCCATCTTCCTTGGTTGGGGAAGTGGATGTGCAAGCTCAATTCTTAAGTTGGAATACTCGAGGAGCGATTTTATATTGTTATGATTTATCTTTTTTGAGTGAAAAGGACCTAGATATATATATTACAAAAGTTCACTAGAAGTCTCAATCATCTTAAGCATAATAAAAGTTACGTCGATATCACCACAGAACTACAACTACAGCCGCCAGAACGAGCCCTTCATGCACCGTTATCGTTGCTTCCCTACCAGATGGTAGGCCTGGCATTGTCGATGACAGCGATGAAGTTTTGGTGCAAACGCTTAAAGGACTAGCACCTTGAAGCCGTAGTTGTTGCTGTTAAACCCTTAAATCGATCCGAAGCGCCTTTTTAAGCTTAAAAAATGGCTGCATCTACCGCTTTATTTTAAAAATCAAACGAATAAACAACCATATCTAGAAAAAAGGGCATGCTATTTTTTTGACAAAAAACTCCTCCTTTATTCAAGCATCAAAACAGTAGCATCGTTTACAAGCAACGGGATAGCCGCACTAGGGGCAGTATCCAACCAACAACCAGTAGTAGAAAATTTAGCCAACCTAGCAAACTCATGAGCTACCACATTACTCTCTCTCTATTACAATGAGCATAAATGACATGATTGCTATTTTGGTTCATAAACCCCCCCTCAAAACAGTCTCCATCCATATTCACCTCGAAGTTTTGGCATGATATTTGGGTTCATAAAAAGAAACTTTGACATGAAGTTGGGTCCATAAGAGTCCTCTCAATTTTGTTTTCATGATGACGTGTAGTGGCACTAGCTATAACTGATTTAGGGGTGTAGTTTCATATACATCTCTGTATGGTGAGGAAAATAGTGAGTGGGGG